AGCTGTATATCACCAAACTAACAGCAAATGCAACCAAATGGAAAATTGACTCAGGTGATTAATGACAAAAGTAAGTCACAAACTTGCATTTGTGATCTGTGGCAAATCTATAAAACTCATGCTCAAGTCGAAGTGCGGAAAAAGTTTCGTGTTAAGTAGCCTCATATACCTTATCAGACTACAAAATTAGTGACAAATAACTACCAACAACCAACCTCTGGCCTTGTGGGAACCACACCAGGCCAAATCTGGCTCTGTTGAGTCCACACTGCTCCAGTACACAAGCTCATCCACCTACAAGTAAGGAACTAAGAGCAAATTCAAGAATTTGGGACGTAGTTCTGCATTTATTTGATAAGGCACCCAGAATCTAGAGGCTCTGGAGCAATTGCTTGTGCTTGTGAGCTCTTGGCTCAACACACATTTTTACTCATCGTCAGCCTGATCATAACACCTGAATCCTCACAGTGACCTTCAATTAAAACAGATTATTGCATGATCTACGAAAAATCCCGATGATTTGATAGATGATCACAATTACTAACAGATACAAAACTCACACTGCTGAGCCTGTGAAGCTGCTGTTCCTATACTATGCCTGAAATGTCACATGCAGTTAGCTGATAACAACCCTTGGCACACTTAGTGATGGCTGCAGAGCTAACACATTTTGGGATACTTCACATACAGTCACTATTGTAAGCAAATTTAATAGCACCAAATTATTTAAATGAGGTGTTAATCAGAAAACAATTTATCCCATAAGCTATTTTTAGATGTGAACTTTCTACATCAGTGGCTCTTGCTGCAGCTCAGGCTTTGGGTTGTTTGGAGAGGAGAGGAAATAAATGACTCCTGGGAGAGAATTCAAGAATAAGTTCACTTTTAGGTCAACCAGCTCAGAATCAACCCAACTTGGGAGTAAAGGAAACCTGGAGTCACTCCTGCTCCAAAGTCAGCACGAGCAGAGTCAGCTTCTGAAACGCAGAGACACCGGCCAGGAGGATGTGCAGGACTCTGGCCCTCAGGAGACTGCTGAGGTGCGCTCCCAACTCGCAGTTAAAGTTGGAACCGAGCAAGTTATCCTTTTCTGAAGGAATTCTAACTGAGCTGCAGCAAAGGAACTATTCTCAATGCCAAGCAAACATAATTTAAATTTCAGTTACTTACGCATCATTGGTCAACTTTGGTTTAAGGTAACACAAAAGCACAATAATTTTAGATTAAAGGGAACAAATATCCATTTCCCCCAACTCAGAGATTCCTACACCAAGCTGGCTTGCAAGTATGAGCACCTTTCCTAGAGCCATGGTTAACAATGCTATTTAAAGCCTATAGACAGCACAACCCAAACAATCCCACATCCCTCTGGATTTTCTGAGAAAAGCTGCTACATAGAATCCTAGTATTTTCAGGATAAACACAAAATTGCACCTCCAAGAATCCAAGAAAGCTCAGAGGCCAGTTTTCAACTAGAGGTCACCCTTCTTCCAGCCAGCGGTCTGGCTTTGCTGCCTGACCTCCACACACACCATGGTGGGCACTAGGAGTTAACGAAGCTTTGAGCCCTCTCATGTACAGTGTCATAGCTTAGAATCACAGAACTGTTTAGGTTGGGGAAACCCTCTAAGATCATATCGAGTCCAATCACACCTCAGCACTGCCAAGGGCACCACTGAACTGTATCTCCACATGGCTGTTAGATCACTCCAGTGACAGTGACTCCACAATGCCTCTACGTAGCTGTGCCAGGGCCGGGCAATAATTTTCTGAGTACCCAACCGAAACCTCCCCTGGCACAACTTGAGGCCATTTCCTCTGGTCCTGTCCCTTGCTCCCTGGGAGCAGAGCCTGACCCCACCTAGCTGTACCTCCTGTCAGGGAGTTGCAGAGAGCGGAAGGTCTCACTCCAGTGACAGTGACTCCACAATGCCTCTACGTAGCTGTGCCAGGGCCGGGCAATAATTTTCTGAGTACCCAACCGAAACCTCCCCTGGCACAACTTGAGGCCATTTCCTCTGGTCCTGTCCCTTGCTCCCTGGGAGCAGAGCCTGACCCCACCTAGCTGTACCTCCTGTCAGGGAGTTGCAGAGAGCGGAAGGTCCCTCCTTCTCTTCCCTGGTCCTGTCCCTTGCTCCCTGGGAGCAGAGCCTGACCCCACCTAGCTGTACCTCCTGTCAGGGAGTTGCAGAGAGCGGAAGGTCCCTCTGAGCCTTCTCTTCCCCAGGCTGAGCTGCCCCACTTGTTTATGAGAAATTCCACTACAAGACAGAGAAAACTATCTCCTGAGTACTTGTGAAAAATGGGTTTGAAATGTCAGTTTCAGGCAGTCAAATAGGCATCTATTCCATATATTTGCCGGCAAAGTCGGCACTGAAATTCACCCTTAAGGGGCAGCTCCCAAGTGATGTTTAATAACAGACCATCAATGTGTTCCAACAAAGATATTTCCCTGGTTTGGGGAGGAGATAACATGTGAAGCAGTGGGAATGTAGTGAATTTACAAGCATAAAAATAAAACCAGCAAGTGCTGATTCTTTCTACTTGGTCCAAACCTCATCCACATGGCAGTTTCATGTATAGAAACTTCCTGAAGGAAAACCAGGAACTGACCAGTTCAGCCCTGTAATCAATTTTAAAGCATCACAGAAGCTGAAGACAACATTTTGCCAATACTAACAACTGAGAGAAGCTCTCAGACAGCAACACAGCCTGCAAGGGAAAATGTGCAAGTGTTTTTAGCTGCATGACAGGTAACTGCAGATGTATCAGCTCCGGGTACTCCAGAACTGAGCACTGAGTACCTACAGGTCTCCCACCCAACACACCTGACCACATCAAAGCTCAGACTAACAAGCCAGGCAGTTTGTGGCACTTTTTTTACAATACTAATATTCCTCTGAAATTTTGAAATCCCTCTCTGCATTGCAGCTCTTCAGTCTCACCTGAACAAGAGAGCACTGGGACTGACACAGGAACTGATGCCGAGCTGAGCTGCTGGCAGTGATTTCCCAGATCCTGTCTGTCCTAATACATTTTAATTTTAATTTTCTTTCTTTTTCTTTGTTAAAATACTTTGCTGATGAACAGTTCCCATTTTTGGTTTGCTTTTAACCCAATAGTAAGCACAAGACAAGACAGCGGAAGGCAGCGAGACATCAACAACAGCAAAGTCTCTCGGTATTTCTAAGCAACACGATGAAGAAGCCGAGAGAGAGGACAGAAGCTCCAACTACTCCGACAGTGTTGTCTGAAATACACTGCCTAAAAAGCAGAGATGTTTTCCAGCATTTACACTTTCTGGCATAATGAACTGTTTCTTAAAGCAAATGCTGTGTGATCACACCTCAGGCCAGTCGGGATACACACACCGTGGCTGCCACCACTGACAGGGAGAGCTGTCTGCTCTACACACTCATGGGAAGTTTCCCTCTGACCAACCTAAGCATATGCCAAGACATGTAAATTCCATGCAATAAGCTTTGTATTAGTACATGCCTCTGAAGATGTTTTCAGAAATGTTCTTCTCTGGAGCAACCAAGTAATTTTTGCCTGTGTTCAAATGACTTATAAGCAGAAATCTCTACTTCTAACATCTTACCCATGGTTTACTGACTCAGTCTAGCACTTTTCTTCCCTAAATTATGAAATACATTGAAAAATCAAGAGCACTCCCCGCACCCAGCCTTCTAAATTAAACAGCAGACTGGAAACAACTCCACCATGAATAATGTTCTCCTATGAACTCTTCCAGTGCTCATGCTGGCTCTGTTCCCCTCGAGGGGTAGGTCCCAACTTGAAAACGTCTGATGCAATCACAGCTTCAGACACTGCAGGTCCCAGGCCAGCATCTCCAGGGGTGTCTGACCAGTGGCAACACTTTAAAAATCCACCTCAACCAGTAGCACTCAACAGTCGGAAGGAAAACCCCTAATACAAGGAAATGCATGCCGCAACACCACAAAGAATTACAGCTTGACTCGAAGCACCGCGAGTTGAACAAGATGATATTTAAGGTCCCTTCCAAACCAAACCATTCTACGGCTCTCTGAAGCATGAGAGAACTATCACCAAAGACACCTGAACAGGCACGTGACAGAGTTCCTTCCTGCCGTCACTCATTCCAGTGGATATTGCACAGGGACATCGGTGTGTAGATGTTTTTTTTGGCACGTGCTGGAGGTGTCTACATGAATCATAAATGCAAATGGCACTTGGCACTTTATGAACGTCATCCCAAACATGCTGACAATACTTCCACACCAATACCAGACCATTATGAGCTTTCCCTAAGCTGTGCATTTTACAAGACAAATTGTCTCAAATGTTTTCCTGTAATGCAATTTTTTTAAATCCACTTAACTGTATGGACAAGTACTTCAGCAAACAATAAACTTCTCTATTTAGAGCTCTCAAGGAGCTATAAACTACTTCCACAAATGAACTAGAACAGCTTTCCACAGAAGAATCTTGCTGTTGGAAAGTCCAAAATTATGCATTCTTCTGGGCTGTGGATCGCACCAGGAAGCCATAAAAAGCCTTTCCAAATCATAAAACATTTGTTTTTCCTAAGTATTAGACCTAACTGCTCATCAATTCTGCCTGTATGTTAATTTCTGTGAAATTCCATGGGGTTTTGGCAAGTATAAGGTAACAAACACACAAAGACATTGAAGGCTATTCAGAAACTTAGAATCTCACGTGGAGGACAGATGAGCACTTGGGGTTTATGAAGTTCCATATCAGTGAATTTGTACATCACAGAATCACAGAATGGTTTTGGCTGGAAAGGACTTCAAACAGGATCTCATTCCAGATCCCTTGCCACAGGCAGGGACACCTCCCAGTAGCCCAGGTTGCTCCAAGCCCCACCCAACCCGGCGTGGAACACTTCCAACTATGAACAGACAACATCCTCATCCCAGCCACACATAACAACTGCCTAGAGACACTGGAAATGCAGTTTCACTCAGTTTTTCTCTAGCCTGGTATTCTCTTACCTGAATTTGGCGAGATGTGTAAACTGCTCATGTCCTTAGTGAGGCCGTTGGTTTTAGGACTGGAAATGGGTGCACAAGCTGACGTAGCTCGGGGTGGTCTCTTCCCAGGGACCTTCACAGTGGTTCTCAGCAAGTCGATTTCTTTCCCATGAACATTCTGCATATAATCCTGGTAGGAGGAGAAAAAGACTCAAAGCTCAACATCAAATAGGCAGTTCCTCAAGCAATACAATTAACAAACCTAGTTTCTTAACACTGTGGCCCTGCATCCTCTTGTCAGCACCCACCCTTCCATTTTCTTGATAATCCCTTCCACAGTTCTCACTATAATTAAGCACAAAAGTCTGGAGCTTTCTGCTACATCCTCAAACTACCAGTGGAAGCTTGGTTTGAAGCACATGTAGGAGTCACCAGCTAGGAGGTCCCAGAGATGGCAAGGCTGAATATTTCCCTGTCTCCTCTCTGTCAGTGTTTGATGACCTTATTTCTTTCACCCTCAAACCTGGCTGAAATGTTTCAGCAGGCGCACAATGGGCCAGATGGTGTTCCTGCCCATGGCAGGGCAGTTGGAACTAGATGTAGTTTAATGTTCCTTCCAACTCCAACCACGGGAATGGTATTCCTGAGCAATTTTCTACATGGAAGCAAGTCTTAATTCCTTTTCAGACAGAACTTGATCACCTTAGGAAGACCTGGGTGATGTCATGGCATCTGTACAAGAAAAGACCTAAGTCCCCATAGCCCAAGGGATTGGGGAACGAGTTAGAGAGGTGACAGGTGTGAGATGACACACTGCCAGCACTAGGCTCGGTTGGTTCCCAACCTGCAGCGCACAGAGCTGCGCACCACCAGAGCAAAGCAAATTCCTGAACTGCCCCAAATCTGTGTCACTGCTGCCACAACATGGGCAGCAATCAGCTCCCTTATCAAGATCCTTTCACCTCTGGCAGGTTTTACAATACAAATTACATATTCTGCTCAAAACCCATCAAAAATCTGGACCAGCACTAATTTCTTCATAGTCACTGGTAATCTGTGCTAAAACCTCCAAACTAAGCCATCACACCAGCTAATTTTTCCCTAGCTGTCTGCAAATTATTAGCAGTAGAAGGAGGGGGGGGGTTCTGAACAATTTGTGGGGAGAAGATGCAGAGCTCTGCTCCTAAAAGAAACAAAGGCAATCCATTAAGGAAAATTCCTTCACTAGGTGTTATAGAGACAAATGGAAGTGTTTAATCTATAAATTATCAAGTTGGCAGAACTTTCTTGCTCAGTGGTGTCAGCTTTTCACAAATTAAAATACAATAACCAGAAGATAATTGAGCATTTATTGCTTATGGGCTCGAAAATGAGGCTTAATCAGAGAGTGACTAAACCTCAGCACATGCTCTTTTTGAGCACATTTTATTTAATGTCCAATCATGGCATATTCTCCTTCAACTAGAGAAAGTGTTTGTCCCACATTCTTCATATCAGCAGCGTGTATGACTTCTTGCCAACTTGTGAGCTATGACAGGGCATTATTAAAGCCCTTTTAATTGAGAATAAACCAGGCTTAGGTCAGCTCTAAACCATTATTTGAGAGGGTAGGTGAATGTTGGCAAAGAGTATCCGTGCGCCGCAGCCATGCCGTTACCAGACCAAAGCACCCCAACACAACAGATGCCACACAGGTATTAATGTCAGCTTAAATATTTATAGGGATATATCAAATATAAATAATAAAGCCTCTTCCATTGTGTGCAGGATGCATAACGATAATCTCCGTGTCTCCCCGAGGAGGGGAGGCAGGGGCCAAATTTCCAGCCAGAGCAGCTGCCCCTGCGCACGCTCCGTCAGATCCCGCTCAGGGAATAAAAGTTCAAACTACAAAACAATGTGTCGGCTTCAGAAGTGAATGGAGGGTTTGATCAGATTAGAACAGATGAGGGTCTTGCTGTCATCTGGAATATGCTGTGTTAAAGAGAAGACAGCAAGCCAGATTTTGATATGCAAATGTTACAGAGATAACTCCCCGAGATGTTAGTTGTAGAAAATGCTGATCCGAGAAAAAAGGGGAGAAAAACCCTTTAACAAGGCATGAGGGTAATTCAAAGCCAAGTACTTTTAAACAGCACTTAACAAGTCCCTAGAGCCCACTCAACAGTGGGCCACCCCAGACGTGCCATCTTCTGCCCCTCAACAGCTTGAAAAAGTAGTAATTGCGAATCCATTTGCATTTTTCTTCTCAACTTGCCCATGCTCATCGTTCAGTAAGGCAGGGGGAAAAAAATAAAAAAACTCAAGCACGCGGCAAAGGAGAGGGACCCCTCCCCAAACACGTGGCTAAGAGGAGAAGCAGACACCCCAGTCCCCTCACCCCGTGCTCGCACCTTCGCCACCACTTGTTTTTTACATTTCACTCCTAATTATGTTGCATCTATTGCCATACACTTAATTAGCTGCATTAATGTGATTTCTTTTCACATAGTCAAGCAATTAAGAGCTATGATTGAGTTTCATTCAATTAGCCTCAACAAACATGCTAATTGATGTCCCAGATGCAAATGAGGTGCAGTGAGAGAAACCTGCTAGCAATTGAGAGTTGTGGCAGGGGGACCGGAGCTGGCAGCTTGCTGACAGCAGCATGGCTTACCACGGCTCCCCCTGCCTTCTGAGGCAGGGGAACCAGCCACCAGTGCCTCAGTCATCCCAAACAGATCCCTATAGGAATAATGGGAGGCACTGAATCAGATCAACGGATTCTCCAGTTCTTGGGGCTGGTATGAGCTGGAGCAGCGCAGAACATTCTCCTGGTTCTGGGAACACTGCGGTTCTTTCAGCTGAGGCCTATCCATCAGGTCAGGTAATGACCTGCAGTCAGCAGTAACTGGCAGCTTCATCTTAGTCAGCTGTGGGGCAATGTGCCTCTGCATGCTCTGGCCACAACGCATCAATCAATCAATAACCCCCAAAATGCGCTCCTGACATCGATTCTCATTGCTTCTCATCCCCAGGTTATCTCAGCACCCTGCTCCCATATACTGCCGTGAGGTGTTAATTCAGGTAATGACCTGCAGTCAGCAGTAACTGGCAGCTTCATCTTAGTCAGCTGTGGGGCAATGTGCCTCTGCATGCTCTGGCCACAACGCATCAATCAATCAATAACCCCCAAAATGCGCTCCTGACATCGATTCTCATTGCTTCTCATCCCCAGGTTATCTCAGCACCCTGCTCCCATATACTGCCGTGAGGTGTTAATTTGACTACTCAAAGCCATTGACTGACCATTATCCACAGGACTAAATAAACTGTTAAAATATTGGGGGGGGGGGAATAAATCAAAAAAGCCTCATTGACTGAAGATGACACCAAATATTACTTGACAGCACCACAAAATGAACTGCCTTGAGTAAGAAAGGAACAATGTTCCATGACACAGAATAATGTAAACTAAAATTACTTTAGTTCTGCTCTTAATACAGCTCTCTGTTTACAACTGCAAAAATTAATTTTACCAATTAACTGAGCAGAAGCCTTTCAGACATGCAAATTGAGCTAACAGGTATGATCATGTTTTCTAAACAGACCTACTGAAAAGAGACATTGCTATTTTGGAGTTCCCTTTTGTTTTCAAATGCCAGTGGCTGCTAACTTCACTGCCGTACACTGCAATGACTTCTGATGGCCCTTAAAGCTGGAGAAGACACTCCACCCAGGGCCACAAGCTGAACCCATGCTACATGGTGTTTCCAGCTAGATGACTACTTTCACCCAGCCAAGGAGAATGAAGACACCAGGCAAACATGTCCTCTTCCACAGGCACACTTAGGGCTGCTGCTATCTGCTCAGCTCCATCTTGAGGGGAGGAAGAACATATGGATCAGACTGAAGGAAAGGCAGAACAACGTGCCGGCTGCTGCTTCCATGAAGTTCGGACAGAAATTCTCATCATTCAGGTCTAGTGCAGTCATCTCAAATACTTCACTAAAGAACCACTGAGCATGTGGGAGCACAGAATTATCGTCTGCAAATGGTTTGGGTTGGAAGAACCTTAAAGACCATCCAGTTACACCCCCTGCCACAGGCATAGACACCTTCCACCAGCCCAGGTTGCTTCAAGCCCCACCCAATCTGGTCTGGAACACTCCCAGGGATGGAGCAGCCACAGTTGCTCTGAGCAACCTGTGCCACAGTTATATCCGATCTAAATATACTCTATTTTGGCTTAAAGCCGCTCCCCCTTGTCCTATCAGCCATTCCCCTTTGCCCTACCTAGGGAGCACTGTTGCTCCCTAGAGCCATCCTGAAGTTAAATACATGGCTCGGGTTGGTTATCAAAAACATTATGGAGTCTGAGGGTTTTCAAATGTCTCTAATACAAGAGGTGGTGGACAGAGAGAAACCCCTTCACAGGGGCTGTAGTTTTACATCATGGCACTGGGTGAAGGAGTTTCAAAAAATCTCCTCAGCGCTGCCAACACTAAGATTAAAACAGCTATCTGCTCCCTCCTAGGGGGTTTCCTTATGTTTCTTCCACCATGCACCTGTCCCACTGCCATTCTTCTCCAATGCACAACATATGAAACGAGAGACACTCTCGGAGAGCAGTGACTTTCCATGGCTATAATATAATGGTACACATACTTTTGTTCTAGTTTTCAGTTATTCAGATCTTTCAGAAGTCTGTTTTTCCAACAGCAGGAACAGCTCCAGGCCCAGCATCCTTCCCAGATCTGGCCCTGGTTTACACTCTGCTTCTAATGAGTGTCTTCAGAGTGTTGAAGGCCAGGCTTGCAGCATCCTGGTCCAGTGGAAGGCGTCCCTGCCCATGGCAGGGGAGATGGAACTAGATGTTGTTTAAGGTCCCTTCCAACCCAAACCATTCCAGGATTCTATAAAAAACACCTTCATTTTGTGGCAGTTTTCCCTCACCGTTCAATCAGACATAACTCTCCTAAGACTCCGCTCACTGAGGGTAAAATAGTGTTCTCTGATCTGAGGTGCAGTAAAAATTATTATGGAAAAGCAAGTTTACAGTTGCACCTCTGGATGACATTTCGAGCACTGTGTGCAGTGTATTCTTTGAAAGCCAATTCCAGTTTTGTGAGCTGACCTATTGGACCCACAAAACCTATTGTTCACCCTAAGCAAGCACCAAATCCTCTTCCCCCAAACTGGAGCAATAGC